GGGAAATGGTGGAGTTTGGTAGTTTTATCCAGGATGCTGGGCTGATAGATTTACCCTTGGTGGGCAGGAAGTACACCTGGCACAGTGCAAATGGAAAACACAGAAGCAGGATAGATAGGTTCTTACTATCAGACGAATGGCTGAAGAATTGGAGCGATATAAAACAGTGGGGTTTGGGAAGAACAGTTTCCGACCATTGCCCCTTATTACTAAAGAATGAAAAGGTTGATTGGGGGCCAAAACCTTTTAAATTCTTTGACGCTTGGCTAGAATATCCTGAGTGCAAACAGTTGATAAGTCAAGTGTGGAAATCAGAGGCAGTGAGTGGATGGATGGGATTCAGACTCAAAGAGAAACTGAAAAAAACCAAAAAAGCCCTGAAGGAATGGAGTGCAAATCACATGACGGATGTGGACAGAAGAATAAGTGAAGCTGAAAAGAGTATAGCAGAACTGGACAGCAAAGAAGAAATCAGCCAACTCACAGAAGGGGACATCGAACTTAGGAGAAGTAGCTTCCTTACTCTATGGAAGAATATGAGAATCAAAGAGAGCATGCTGCAACAGAAATCAAGAAAGGTGTGGTTGAAAGAAGGGGATGCAAACACAAAATTTTTCCACAGAAGTGTGAAGGGCAGATGGAGAAGAAACGAAATTAATAGCATCCAAATCAATGGGGAGCAATACAGAGGTGTGGCAGAAATCAGAGAGGGCATGCTAAGGTATTTTAAGGGGCTGTTTACAGAAGAAATGTGGCAAAGACCAAAGCTTGACGGAATAAGCTTTAGACAACTAGATGAGAAGGATAATGATCTCCTTATGGCAAAATTCACTGAAGAAGATATTCAAAATGCAGTGTGGGATTGTGACTCGTCAAAGTCTCCGGGCCCGGATGGTTTCAACTTCAAATTCATAAAAACAATGTGGGAGGAAATAAAGCAGGATGTTATTGGGTTCGTACAGGAATTTCAGGAGCAGGGCAAATTAGTAAGAGGCTCAAATTCCTCCTTCATAACTCTAATCCCGAAGGTCGAAAACCCCCAAAGAATTGAAGAGTACAGGCCAATATCACTCATCGGAGCAATGTATAAGATTCTAGCAAAGCTATTAGCAAATCGCCTCAGGAAAGTACTTGACAAGATCATAGGGGAGCAACAGATGGCGTTTATAGAAGGCAGACAGCTGATGGACGGAGTGGTGATTGCAAACGAGGTCATAGACGAAGCGAAAAGGAGGGGACTAAAAAGCTTTTTATTCAAAGTCGATTTTGAAAAAGCTTATGACAAGGTGAGCTGGGATTTTGTTGACTATATGCTTATGAGGACGGGATTCACAGTTAAATGGAGAAAGTGGGTAAGGGAATGCTTGCAATCGAGTATGATCTCCATCCTTGTGAATGGAAGCCCCACAAAGCAATTCTCGGTCAACAAAGGAATAAGACAAGGCGACCCCCTTTCGCCTTTTCTATTCTTACTAGTGGCAGAAGGTTTGAATGGGTTAATGCAATCTGCGGTGGAGAAAAACTTGTTCAAAGGGGTGAGGATCGGTAATGGAAATTTAGCAGTATCTCATCTCCAGTTTGCCGATGATACATTATTCTTCGGGGAGGCTTCGGATGAAAACATACAAGTAGTCAAATGCATTTTGAGGACTTTCGAACTTGCTTCGGGGTTGAAAATCAACTTTGGTAAAAGTCAGTTAATGGAGATTGGAACTGAGGAGGGCTGGAAGGAGAGAATGGCTTGGAAATTGTGCTGCAAAGAAGGAGATCTACCATTCAAGTATCTGGGAATACCAGTAGGAGGGAATCACAGAAAGTTAGCATTGTGGAAGCCATTGTTGGAGTCTTTCAAGAAGAAATTAGCTAGCTGGAAAGGCCAAAACTTATCCCTAGGAGGTCGGATCACGCTCTTGAACTCGGTGTTGTCCAGTTTACCTGTGTATCTAATGTCGGCCTACAAAATCCCCAAAGGTATTCTTTATTCCTTAGATAAAATACGTAGGAATTTTTTATGGGGAGGGTTGGGGGAGGAGAAGAAAATTAAATGGGTTAGCTGGGAGAGGGTGTGTAGGAAGAAGGAGTGTGGAGGCCTGGGAGTGAAGGATCTAAGGAAGTTTAATATGGCGTTGATGGGAAAATGGTGGGGACGGTTAGCGAAAGGGGAAGAGGGGCTTTGGGGGAAAGTTATAAGGGGAAAATATGGAGGTAACGGGGGTCAGTGGCTGGAATGGGTGAGAGATGGAAGAAGAGTAGGATCACTTTGGTGGAGAGACCTTCAAAGTCTCAATGTGGGGGAGGACGGGAACGAGGGATGGTTGACGGAGGGGTTTAGAATAAAGATAGGTGAAGGGAAAGGTGTGAGTTTTTGGTGGGATGAATGGTGTGGAGAGAATTGCCTAGCGAACATATATCCTAGATTGTATATACTGTCAACAGGGAAGGAAAAAGATTGTCAGCAAATGGGAGAGAATCATAACGGCACATGGCAGTGGAACATGACATGGAGAAGGGCCCTGTTTCAGTGGGAGGAGGAGGCTGAAAAGGAACTGCAGAAGACAATCGAAAAAGTCAAAATCTCCCCAGGTTGTGCAGATAAATGGGAGTGGATCCACAGCGCAGATGGACAATACTCAACGACAACAGCTTATGCAGTACTAACAAAACAAAGGAAGGAAGAGGATGAGGAGAAAATATTCAAGAGAGTATGGAACCCAACCATCCCAACAAAAGTAGCTGCATTCAACTGGAGGGTATTAATTGATAGAATCCCAACTAGGACTAATTTGTTCAAACGGGGAATCATAAAAGAATTGGAAGAAAGGAAATGCGCCTTGTGTATGGAAGAAAAGGAAGATTCAAGCCATTTGTTTTTGAACTGCAGTGTAGCTAAGTGGCTGTGGAAAGCTTGTACAAAGTGGTGGGGAGTCAAAACAGTCTTACAAAATGAATGCTGGCCAACATTTCAACACTTGGGAGCATGGACAAAAAAGCCATACAAAAAGGAAGGTTGGGACTGTATATGGAATGCAATGTTATGGACTGTGTGGATGGCGCGTAGCAAAAAGATTTTCGACAATGCAGAGGTAAACTTGATTAAGCTTTTTGAACTTATTCAATTAAGGTCTTTTGCTTGGATTAAAGCTAGGAAACCCAAGTGTTACTTCAATCTATCAGACTGGTTAATTAACCCTGCCTCTTGCCTTCATAAAGCATAGTAGGATATGTTTGAAAGAGGGTAGTAACACTGAAGAGATTGTAATTTGTTCTTGGAAATGGGTTAGAGTACCCCTTGTACTCAAGTTATTAATATAACTCTATTAGCTGTTCAAAAAAAAAAAATTCTTACATCTTTTATTAATGACTATTTGGACTTTGTCTTCATTCCTGGCTTTCAAAACCACTAGGTCAAAAAGGTGAGATGAAACTTTCATAACCTATTTGGGTTTTTTATGGTAGGTATTGATTTGAATTGATAAAATTGACCCCTTAATTGACCCCTTGTTTTTCTCTGACCATTGCTGTCTTTTTTTCCCCTCAAGAGGAAAGGATGAGGGCTTTGTCTTCCTTCCTACCTTTCAAAGCCACTGGGCCGAGAAGGTAAAGTGTAACTCTCATAACCTATTTCGGTCTTTTATGGTAGGTATTAATTTGATTTGATAACCCCTTGCGTTTCTCCGTAACTTGCTGTTTTTTTTCCACTAGAGGAAAGGACGCGGGTTTTGTCTTCATTCCTGGCTTTCTGAAGTGTGGGAGCCCCATTGCCTATCTTCAAACTAAATAAATAAATAAAAAGTATGTTAAAATAAATAAATAAATAAAAAGTGTGGGAACATGGAACGGAGCGGGTTTGAAAAACAGGGCATAGATGCGTAAAGAAGGTCCTGTTGATAAATTCAAAGCCACTGGTCCTGTTGTAATTAGAGATGTAATTACCAACGGTCCTGTTGAACTACAGTGACCTCTTTGATTTTTAATTTATTTCTGTTTGAGCATTTAATTTTTGTGCCACGTGGCTGCATAACGTGGAGGGTGGTAGAGCGAGGTGTGAAAGGACGACTGCCCTTAGCATTTCTCTTGTAGGGGCGTTGACTCTTTTGGATCTTAAT